CACAGTATGAATAGAATAGCATAGAATAGCATAGCATAGCATAGCATAGCATAGCATAGCATAGCATAGAATATAGAATATAGAATATAGAATATAGAATATAGAATATAGAATATGGAATGGAATGGAATGGAATGGAATGGAATGGAATGGAATGGAATAGAATAGAATAGAATAGAATAGAATAGAATAGAATAGAATAGAATAGAATAGAATAGAATAGAATAGAATAGAAATAAGAATAGAATAGTTTGGTTGTAAGGGACCTACAACCACCATCTAGTCCAACTACCTGAGCACTTCAATCACCTCTCTAGGAAGCCTGTTGCAGTGTCTGACCACCCTCTCAGTAAATAAATGCTTCCTAGTACCTAGTCTGATCCTTCCCTGATTCAGCTTTGAACAATTCCCACATGTTCTGTCACTGGATACCAGGGAGAAGAGATCAGCACCTCTCTCTCCTCAAGAAGCTGTGGAGAGCACTTCCCCTCCTCAAGAAGCTGTAGAGAGCAATGAGTAGTTTACAGTTTCATTGGAAATTTCCTGTCGTGATTATACATAGGCTAGACTTAGCTGTGGTTGTCAGATAAGGTCTGTGTCAGCACTAGGCTCAAACAGCAGCACCTTTAGTTCTCTGTGAGTTTCACAGATGCTGGACACATGCCAGAAAATAAGCCTGTTCCCTGATTTCTGGAAGAGGACTGGCCAAGGTAAGACTAACACACTGCTCATGCAGAAAGGAGGCTCAAAGTACAAAAACTGCAAGCTGTGAGCAGGGTCTTCAGACATTGCATTCCATCAGGCCCAGCCCTTAAAGCCAAGGACCTGCCAGCTTCACTACAGGAAGCAGCTGAACAGTCCCAACTTGGGAGGTATGCTAGGGCAAGGAGGGCTCTTTGACTTCTCCCCTCTCTCAGGTGTTATTTCATCATAAGCCTGTGTGCAGTGACTATTGCTATTAAAAACATAGCTAACACAGTTTGAAAAGAGTCTACCACAAATCAGAAGGAGGCTGAAAAAGTGCTGTTTGGGTATGTACTACATCACTGCTTGCGTGTAGATACCCCTGTGAGCAAATAGAGTCTTTGACATAAGTGTTTTCCCCATGAGCATAGTCACTGGCTCATGACATAGGGAACTATAGCATAAGCAATCGTTGTGTACCATGGGGACCACAACAGCAACACAAAAAGTTAAATCCTCTGCAGCTGAAACTTGCTGCAGGGTCTGTGAGAGCAGCCAGCAGCGGGTAGGAGTCCATGCTGATCATAGCCTGGATACCACTGACCCAGGAGATGTCAAGAGAGACAGGGGGCTGTGTGGGAGCTGTCTGTCAAGGACACCATCCCCTCAAAGCATCCCCCTCCCAGGCAACCCCTGGAAAGAGAGAAAGAGGGGTCTGATGGCTGAAGCAAGGACTTGAGGATCTGCTCCCAGTTGCAATGCTGACTCACCAAGCCAACTCGGCAAAGAGGCTTTTTGAACTTAGTGATGGGTTGCTGCCTGCCATGGCATGCCTTCCTTTCCTGAAGAAAGCAACTAATTCCTTGTTTGATATATCTGCTCCTGCTGCAAGCAAGACACCCTCGTTCTTGAATGCCTGGTGGAAATGGGATTTCTTTCCTTCTCCTCCCCCTGATTTTTGTGTTTAGGCTGGCAGAATTGTAGGGCAATGTGAATGCTCACTCCAGAGGGGGCTGAAGGAAGGAAAACCAATGACCAAATAACTTCACAAGAACAGGAATTGCCTCCAGGGAGCTCCCCTTCACCTTGCTCTCTCATCAGCTGAGAGATATTCAACATCACCCTGCTCTGCTAGTCGCTGAATATTTTATACTGTGGCTACAAACGCTCCATTTGTATTCTGTTTCTCTCTTTCGTCATATCTATTATAAACGAGTAGTGTCTGGGAACTCTCCCAGGGAAGATTTGCCTGGATGGCTATGGATATTTTATAGCCAAATTGTGAGAGTAAACCAGCTTTCAAGTTCTGTAGAGGAGGGGAAAAGGTAATAAAAGGGTTATTAAAAAAATAAATAAATGTTGGGACTTTATATGGCTTCTTTTCACAGTGACAGAGCTTCGGTTTGCTCCACAATGGAGCTGGAGCTGGAGCTGCTAGGAGAGGCTTGGTCTGGGAGATGATGTCCTCTTGCTGGCACTGTCTGCCAACAGGAGCAATCTGATACGCTCTTGCTAAGTGCTATGGCTGGCTCAGCAAGGCTGGCATCTGGCTTGGCAGGACTGGGCTGGCACCAGGTGAGCCAGGGGTTGGGGCTGTGTCTGTAGGCATCAGGGATAGCTGGCTATATGGGAATCAAGACACGGCCCAGGGTTGTAGTCACCCCATCTTTACCTTCACATTGTCATATATTTGATACAGTTAGGAGGCCAGGGTCTGTCTTCTCATGTGACAGGAGAAGTCCTAGCAAGGGGCCCTGTATCTGAGAGGTAGCACTCTTCTCCAACCCAGGTCTAAATAAGAGATGATGAAACTTGCTTTGCCCTCAGGCAGGCTGCCACTTCCCCAGGGGACTTTGAGAGGACTTCACCCACCAAGGTCATCAAGACTGACACCATCTGAACAAGCAAAACTTTCTGGCAGAGTTTCGCAACCTCCATACAAGCAAAACCAGCCAGAGAGCAACCAACATGCATAGAAATGTAGATCAAGCCATTAGACCTGCTAGTGAAACAGAGCATGTCCCAAACATGGGTTCATTCGTGCATGTGCAGCGATGAGGACAGCTATGCCAGAGTGGCAGTAAGGAAAAAGATCAAGTAGTGTAAGAGTTAGTAAGTGGCATAGCGGGAATTATGAAAACCAGACAGTTTTAGGATTACTAGGCATTCTGACTTTTCCTCGAGAGGTCTCAGTTGCACCCTGGTGCGCTGACATGTAAAAGAGAAGCCGAAGTGACTACAGAACATCATGACTGGCCCTGAAAGAAGCTCCAGAGTAGAGAGCAGATACAAGGTACTGAATTTCAATTTGCAGACAGATATATTGTGGGTTTGCCAGACCAAGCCATACATTCCACAGGCCAATGGAAAAAGAACTTTTTCTCATTTCTTTCTCTTTCATTCTCTGACTCTACCTAATCAGCCTAATTTTAAAACAATTTATTCGCTCTCAGCTCAGCAGCACCCACCCTGGAAATCATCATACAGCATTAAAGAGTCTATCTACCTCGCACAAATTTATCAGCCCCTTTGTGCAACAAGGGGAAAATGGGGAGCAGGCAAGGGCAGCAACATTGAGTATGAAGGGAAAAAGCAACAGATGTAAAAGGTGCCTGAAGCCGAGGAATAGAAAATGGTACTCAGTGGCTTTCTTAGGTCTTGGGAGTCACTGTATCTTTTGCTCTGGGCAAATTGTGGGTGGAGCAAATGAATGAAGAGTTAAAATGCTAAAAGATAAAAACCTGCAATGAATTGATTTCCTGGCATGTCGAGTCCACCCATCTCCAGGAAGACCACCACATGAGAGTTGTAAAACAGGGCTCTCTTCCAAAAGCAAGCAAAAGCTGATGGGCTGTTACTTTCCCTGCAAAATGAACTTAGAAATAGGACACATAGCTGTATTCCTAAAGAAAACAAAGCAAGAGGGGCCTCCTCCCTCCATATCTTCTTTTCTTGTCAGTCTTCCATCAGTTTGGGCTACCCTTCATTGCAACCACAAAGAATGAGATCCCTTTGAAAGCCTCCAGGAGAAGATGTGCAGGAATTAGGCAGCAAGCCTGACTGATCACAGCGGACAATTGCAGAGAACAAGGGAGTTTGCCAGCCAGCATTAACAGCTGGACTGTCAGCTAAGCAAAACCAACAGGTCCAGGAAAACCTGGTGTGAACCAACACTGATAGTGCTCTGCTTGAGCATCCTGCCACTCCCGATGTGAAGACAGCACAGAGCAACCTGTCTGCAGGAGGGAATACAGGTTTGTGCAAACACCTCTGACCTAGCTGGACTCTTGAGTGCAGACAGCAAATATGAGCCCTCAGAGCAAAGACAGAGATGGAGACCTGCTCAGTGAACTGCAGCCCAGCCCTTACCCCCTGGTGCCCATGGAGTCAGAGTTTCCACCTCGCCCCCACTGAGAGGAGATCCCAGATTTTGCAGCTTAACCTCTCTGCAATGCCACATGCACGTGGAGAAGTGGTGGCCAGACTCAGGAGCATGTTCGCTCCCAGTGACATCAATGGTGCCGAGAAGAGAGCTGTTAATTAACCCTGTTTATTGAAGGGCGGACACATTCCTGCCTGGGCCCTGATTTTTCAGTCAGGCTCCAGTCCAGCAGGTGATTAATAACCCAGCGTGCTGTGGGAAGAGTGCATCTATTATTCAAATTAATGAAATTATAATCAAGAGGTGACGAATTAGCAATTGCTTCTTGACTGGATATGGAAACTCATTAGTGTGCCAGGCACTTCTGGGGTGCTCACTGCACTCATAGGCTTACAGTTAGAGGAGGGAGTAAGGCAGAGCAAGCAGCCCCTTGGCACAGCTGAGGGAACACACATCCTGCCCACCCCAAAACAGATGAAGCTGCCACAGAGCCCTCTGGTCCCACAAAGCCCCTCCACCTCTGTCTCCTCTCCAATGAACAGACTGTCACTTGGTGTCCAGCTGCCTGGAGCAAGGTGTCTGTGCCTGTGAGCAGGGAAAATGTGTGCACAAGGGTACAATGCTCTTTTTTTGTGGAGGGCAGGGAGCCTTCTGCTAGAGGAAGAACAAGCCAGAGGAGAAGGGGTGATGGCTGACTGCAAGATACTGCCCTGAGGATGGGTTGCAACAGCCTCACAACCCTGACACTGCTGGGGTGTGGGTAAGGGATAAGTATCTGAAAGCAGCAGCCCACCCTGGTGCTCTGAGTCCTGGAGTAGGAATCCCACCCTCCTGAATCGCTGGCTGCAGGCACAGCTGGCAGAGCAAGAGGCTGGAGGTCTTCCCCGACAGTCTGCACTAGGCTGAGGGTTACCCTTCGCCGGAGGGTACTCACCAATGTGCTTCCCATACATGTGGTAGTAGAAGGAGACACAGTAATACTTGGCAGTAATGTTGTAGAGGGGGCTGATGAGTCGGGCTTTGTCTCCTGTCACCCGGGGCCGGGACGCCTCGATGAACATGTAATAACCTATAAAACGAGAGGGAAACGTGGGGGAAAGGCAGCAGACACTGGGTCTCCCTTCTTGCAAATGATGGGATGTCAGAGGCTGGGAGAGCACTCCTCCTCAGAGAGAAATGGCCCTGCTCTTCCTATCCGTTCTGCACCCACTGTGATCCCAGCCAGAGACACTTGCAGGATGTCTGCGGTGCCTCCCCTGCCTCTGCAGCATTTAGGGGAGAGCAGGAGAGACAGGCATCAGCAGATCCACTGTGAGCACAGGCAGCAGATGAGTCCCTGAACATGCGCACACACATCTGGGTGCAAAATGAGCCTTTCTCCTGCAGCATGAGAAGCTCCAGAGCTGACTGCACTGTGTAAGGAGAAAAACAGAAGGAGGAGGGAGAAACCATTCCAGCCTAATTTCTCTGCCTCAAGCAGAGGGAGAGATGATTCGGTATATCTGACCTAAACAATATTGTTGTCTAAAGAGAACAATACCAAAGTAGTTGTTAACAACCCGGGGAAGAACAGATTAGCTATTTAATTTGTTGGCATTGTTTTCAATGCTCGATCAGGCTGGTGTACTGAACACTAATAGGAAAAGCCATTTCCTTAGCTGGCCATTGGATGTTTCCCATTTTTTCTGAGTTCAAAGATTTGTGCTTGCATACAGATTTACTTTCCTCATTAGAGAAAGAGGAAAGTAATATCCAGCTAAAATGGGAGCATGTACTCCATGCACGGGCTAACATGAGCAACACACAACACTGGTCTCCTCCAGCTAGAGGTGAGGCACTTGCTGCCACCCCGCACACAACTCCCACCTGGTCTCTCATGCTCCTGCTTGGCACTAAGGAGATCCGTTTGCCTCCCTGAGACCTCCTTTGAGGAAAGAGCTGGCTAAAACCATAGGGCCATTTCTAGGTGTAAGAGCTATTCTCCTCCTTGCCTATCCTTTTTTTTTGCTTGAAAACAAGCATCAAATGGGACAAGGGCATTAGGCAGCAGGCAATTAGCTGGTAACAAGAACTAATGCTCACACTGTTCCCTTAAACAAAGTTGTGGGTGTTTTAATTGTGTGTTTAATGCCAATCAGTAACATGCAAATTAACTGCCTGCTCTCTGCACCCCATGTGGAGGAGAAGCATGTTGTGTGGAAAACAGATCAGTACTCCACCAGCTCCCAGAGCTGTAGGACTCCTGACAAGGGACGGCATGCACCTCATCTCCACAGTCAAGACAAAAGAAACCCAGATGTATGCCTACCCTCTGGTGTACCGCTGATGTCCGTGGGGGGCCCCGTGTTGACGGTACGCTTGGGGTTCTGGGTCAGGGCATTCTGCCGGGTCCAGTCAAAGTTGTCCATCTTGTCCTGCATGAAGCCACAGATCTTCTCGTCTTCAAAGCGGCAGGTGTTATCTGTGGGGAACGGAGGGCCTGGTCAGCTGCTGCTTTTCAAACCTCCTCCCCAAGGCTGCCTGGGTGCTTGCAGCAAGTCTCACAGCACTAATATTATATCACCACTGAGGCTCTGCATCAAGTCAGGGACAGACAGGCAGCCCCCAACCTCAGGAGGAGGATAAAAAGGAATATATCCATGATTAGTATGATTATGGAAGGGTTAATACAGGTTGATGGATGTGATGGTCTGACGAAATGGAAGAAGGCTATTAGGGCTAAAGAGGAAGAGAGACTCTGCTGGGAGGTCTGATGAGGGCAAACACAGAGGAGGGTAAAAAGAGCATTGAAGGCAAACAGGCCACAAGGGCTTTTAAACCAGAACGACTTGATGGTAGAATAATTTCCCCAGGAGAGAGGAAAAAGCACCAGCAGATGACCCCCTTTGGGCTATATATTAAACTAGACTATGGCACACATGAAAAAAATCAGCTGTGGAGAAGAGGTCAGCTCAGTGCTACAAATGTGTCACTTAGCTAGAGTACATCCAATTTATGCCAGCTAAAAGGCACATTTGATACTGCAGCTTATGCTGGTTCCCCTAACAAAGTAAGTCAAGATTTTTATGTAGGATCAACCACATGTGCAGTGTTATTACTACCACAACACAGTCATACCCTATAGCAATATTGTAAGACAGGTGAAAAATCTTGTGCATAGACATAACACAATATGGACTTGCAGAGATTGTAATGAATAAGACTTGACCAGGCTGAAGATGGTAACTTCTGTGGTAAAAAGGTAGTTCCTGAGCCACAAAAACAAAGGCCAAGAACCATCTTTATACTTCTGACACAGTAGAAGAGGGACGAAGGAAACAGGCAGAAGAGAAAGAGAAAGTGGGTCCAAGACCCACTGTGAAAATTGCTCTGTGTTCTGAGGGGTCCCTGGGCAGAAACTGGATCTGAAGAATGGGCTGAGAATGGAATCTCAGGCCCTGTGAATAGTGGAGACACAGCAAGCACAGCTCTCTTTACCTTCTGCCTTTATATAAGAACAAGGAGGTGTGCTATGAAACTGAAAGATAAAGGACTTAAAAGCCATGAAAGAACACATACAGAATAAAAACAAGACTCTTGCTAAGGGCTTTGGATGTGCTAGAAACCTCATCCATGACAGGCTGGTGCAAGACTCAACTTTTTGGGGTTTACCCCCACTACTGTTCCTGTTACCATGCCCAGATGAAGAGAGATGCAAATGCCTACTTGTGCTCCTGTATTCCTGTATCTTCAGTGGTGGTTTGCTCTAGTTCCTGGGCAAGAGACTCTCTGTCCTAACATGGGTGACTCTGGCAGGACATGTAGGGAAGAGCAGGGTCAGCAACCTATGGGCTAGGTGCCAGGGATGGGGTGGGCAAGGGAAGCTTTCTTTAATGCCAGGGCCAAAAGCTCCAGACATGGTACGTTGTGATGGTAGGAGCTTCACACACTTACCATGCACACCAAAATCTGCCATCTTGTACCACAGAGGAGAGATTACCCATGAAATGAACTCCATCTTGACTCTGAGATGCTGCACCTCCCAGTTCCTACCCTGTAGCTAAAGTCCTCCCTAACCCCTCCTATTTAGAAATTAAAAGGACCATCATCCAAACAGACATCAAAAGCCTGCATACCCTGTGGTAGGGAAATGGGTTCTACCTTCTTGCCTGTCTCTCTCCAGCATCTCACCAAAGCAGTAAGCTAAGAGGAGTGAGCCTCTTGTTGTGGCCCACAAAAAGGTCTTTGCCACCACAGGCTGGGCACTGTGCTGGAAGCCAAGGGCTTGGTTCACAGACCAGTGAAGCTGGGTGTTCTGTAAACTCAGTGGAAAACACTTCTCCTGAGAGCTGAGCTCAGCCATCTGGAGCTCAGCTGGGCTGGCCACTTAACTGCTGATTATCCCTAGCTAAGTGTTTTTTGTTCAATCCGCTCATTTCTAATTAGCATCCTAATCCAAATTAGCCACTGTTCCACAGTGCTGAGCACAGGGGGCCACATGGCAGCACAAGCTGAAGGCAGAGGACAAGTAGGGAGTGGACAACGGGGCAGATGCCTGCGTGGTCTGAGTCAGGGCAGCTATGTGTCCT